CTAGGTTACGCAAAGCATCCCCCCTCCTCTCTCATAGTCCTCCCAATGATAAAGATTGTGGTAAGCATATATCTATATATATACTGCCCCTAGGTATGTTTGGATGGATTGTATGGTATAGATGAGCTGAATAATATCTACCCTCTACCTTATATACTTGCCTTTATCTTCATTATACAGCTTATAATGATATAAGTCCCGCAATATACAAATCATAGGATTCAAATATATCCTTGTAAATCCTTGTATATCCTTGTATATCTTAGTACATATATAATATATTCATATCCTTGTATATCCTTGTATATCTTAGTATATATATAATATTTTTATATCCTTGTATATCCTTTTATATCTTTTATTTTCTTGTATATCCTTGCATATTCTTAAACATACTAGTTATATCCTTGTATATCCTTGTATTTCCCTGTATATCCTTGTATATCCTTGTATTATTGTATATCCTTGTTTATCCCTGTATATCCTTGTATATCCTTGTATATCCTTGTATAGCCTTGTATATCCTTGTATATCCTTGTATACCCTTGTATATCCTTGTATATCCTTGTATACCCTTGTATATCCTTGTATATCCTTGTAAATCCTCGTATATCCTTGTATGTCTTTGTATACCCTTGTATATCCTTGTATATCCTTGTGTCCTGTGGGTAACAAAGGTTAAAAAATCGAAAATTTTTTATTAAAAAATATTTGTTTTATTCCTCGCAGTGCGAACTAACCGGAGGAGAAGGTCAAATTCAATTAACATTAAAGTTACAACTTTGTAACTCCATTTGTCTATAGTTCTCATTTTACGCACAAGTGTAAGAAAAGCTAATTTATTCGGTTACAAATATTAAATTCAAAACATTCTCAAAACCTGTTTAAAAAATTAGTTATGATAAAAACATATAAGATTTCAATTTTACGTTTATTTTACTTTAGTTTGACGTGCTCGGGCAACGCCTGGAAATTCTGCTAGTTTTATATAATTACAAATATCCTTTTATTTTCTAAAATGTTTCTCGTCAAATTCTTTCGTTATATTTACATCTTGAACCAAAATTCTTTTTGAATTTTCAATTTGTTGGCAAATAAATTTACTTTTCAGATGGATTTAACACCACAAATATTTCCTCATCAGTTGTAAAATAAGATGAAAGAAATCCTTCATTTTTCTGGTAAAAAATCATTTTTGATGCTTTTCAGAAAAATCTTAGAAAGGGCAAGTTTTGGCAAGAGAGGAAGAAGATGCCATACCCCTCCCCCTCTCCCTCCTTTTTTGGATATAATGACTCAGGATATCCAAATTGCCAAATTTCTTAACAGTTTGCTGAAAATGGCAAATAGTTAATGGGCTCAAATTGGAAGTTAAGAGACTCTAAGTTACTTTTGTAAAAAAAAATTTTTTTTTAAATTGTGTGAAATTTTAATCTTAATATGAACAGAAAAAACATTGATATGGAATGCTTACTTTGACATTCTTCTTGACTAAGCAACAAGCATTGTGACTAAAAAGGGCGACTTAGAGTTGTGACTTATAATCTGTCATAA